TTGCACGACTTTCCCGCTATTATCACCATACAATAACACAGATCTTGGCAAAGGAAGAAAATGCCAAATATCGCCGCAAAGCTCGCCTGTCCGATAGAAACGGTCGACCTAGATCAATCATTGATTTATGTGAATTTACCTCGAAAGTAGTATGTGCATTTTGAAGGTGTTGCAAAGAAAGGATTGCAGCAGGCAGTACGGAAAATCAGGAAAATTTGTACAACCATCATTTTCAGGAGCAATGATAAAAATTAAATGATAATAAAATTCGCACATTTGTATCTCTCGTTCTTTAATCTCTATCCTCGTATTCGATAAAGCAATAAATTAAACATACATGTAATCATTATTTCAGAGTTCGTCTCTTTCTATTTTAAAATTATATCACTGTGAGGAATTCTCAGAAAGTTGATTTTTATGTTATAAATTAAAAATCGATTTTATCGTATTATATTATTGATCATTGAATTAATTTTCGAAAATACTTAAGTAGGTCGTAAATTTCCTCTACCATCCTATCTAAATTCATCGCGTTTCAAACTTGGAACTAGGTCACTTACCAATTAATTTTGACCGTTGTATAGAAGATTTTCGAAATTCTGAGACGAGGAAACGAATTAAGAACGATCAATCAAGTTCGCGAGCTTCATGGACGTTATCACGTGCTAATAATAATAGGTTTCCTTCGCGCATTTCATTCTCTTTGCGAAGGAAACGCGCGCGGGAACGATAGCGAAATATTTCGCGACGGCTATCAGATTCTTGCGGAATCCGATGACGCGGTGTGGAACATTGATCGGATTTTTCTCTCTTTCGACAAATAAACGAAGAATCGAGATCCGCGACTGACCGCAGAGTTCCGTGATTTAATGCGATGGCCTGTTTGCTTGCGTGCGCAACTTATTTATTAAAAATTAAAATTGCCCCCTGTTAAATAATAAAACTTAACGAACCCGTAATGAATAGCACGTGTGTACCAATTTAATATTAAATTGATGCTGCATAAATGAAACACGTGAATAGGTTTCTGAATAGGATTTTTGTGAACAATAATTACACAGACATTAATCGAAATAATAAATTGGCAATTAATATTTAGTCCAATTAAATTATCATTTTGATCTTCTTGTTTTGTTACGCAATCTCAATATAAGAAAATAATTTGTAAAAGATATTTTTCTATTTGTATGTATCATAAGCATGAACATACGACATAATAAGCATAAACATGAACATATGATACGTCGAACAAAAATGTGCAGTATATGTATAATGTGATACGATGCGCAAAGTGGTAACACTATCTTATCGTATAATATGCGTTACTTTCCATTTTTTCTGAAAAGACAATGTCAGGTTTTATGCATCAAATATGCGAAATGGATTCATTAATTGTATTAAGAAAGTTATAAATTTCTTTCTCTCTGAAAAAAAAGCTTGTCTTTTGGTTAGTTCGGGCATAATTGAAGAAAGCGAGGAAATTATTTTTTTTATTAGATAATTCTAAATTATCAGAAAAACTGAAACAAATTCGTCAAAGAATAAGTTTTAAAATAATTTGAGACTAAAACGTTGCTCTCACATAACATGAAAAATTAAAAAAGCAATAATAATCCTAACTAAATTAAATTTTCTGCTTTCGTATATATGTATTAAAATATTTATAAACTTATCTTTATAGTAAATAATTTTGAGCTTCTATCCACGTTAAATTATAAAAACGGTGTAACTTTTTGCGCATTGGGGAAACAGTTACACGTAAACTCGAAGCTAACTAATGTCTTTTCCGACTGTTCAGGATTTCTTACTGACTTCTCTGGCTTGCGATCAAGAAAGTTACCTCGATGCCGTTTTCTTCCGCGACTGAACTTCTGCCACGCTATTATTTATCACCCGTGTGGCGCATTGCTACAGGTCTTGATAAAATAATTAGTTTGCAGACCGCACTTTCTTCGCGGTCCCTTCCGACCTGTCTATCGTAATCGCGGCACGTGATATTTTTCTCTTTTCTCTAGCGCTTATATTATACTTTCTCATAATCTATTATCTGTCACATTTGATCAATATATCGGTTGTAATGCAATAATTGATATTTGCCGCTCCTATCTACCACGCTCTAACGTCCATAATATCCAGCATCGTATTTCTAATCAATGATTCAGTTTCTTGCGCTTCGAATAATATATCAATCGCATTTGCGATCAACTTTGACATCATTCGAATTTCCTCGCTTAATAGAAATAAATATGTTTAATTTTGAATTCTCGAATCTCTTCTATCCTATTCTATCCTATTCTGCCGTGTGAACCGAACTGTAATTTTTCCACTAAATACATTAACATGAGTTGATTACATTACATTATTTATCTTGGAGTTAGCCATATTTGTACATGAAAAATATGCCTATCCTTATGTCAGTCAAGGTGCTAATTACGCCGTTCAATAATCATGATTCGTCGAGTAATTAACATTTCGCGCTATCACGTCCTCTTTGAGATGGTAGAAATTCAAAGTCGATATTGGTTATGAGAATCGATTATCTAAATGTCATATTATATATATATATATATATATATATATATATATATATATATATACTGGGTGTCAGGACAATCTTTTCTCAAAAAAAGCTCTTGTAGCTTACCTCGAGAGTTTTTCAAAATACTATAATAAAGTTTTTTCATCGAGTATTTTTCGGCGAGGAAAAAAATAATTGTTAACTGCAAAATTACATTATTTACAAATTACATATTTTTTCTTCGAAACAATTATGTGTTTTCTTTACACCAATTGATTCCTCTCATTATTTTGTACATAAAAGTATTAAGGTAAGATAATCGAAAAATGAATATTTTACTAGACATTTTATGTAAAATTAAAAGATTATTTCAAGCCATATTTTGAAAAGTACTCAATGAAACAATACTTTATTATAGTGTTTTGAAAAGCTTTCGAGATAAGTTACAAGAGCTTCTTTTTTGGGAAGAGATTGCTCTGACACCCTGTGTATATATATATTTCTTTCATATTGCATATGGAAGAGAATAAGGAGGAATAGAAGAGGCGGCTCATTAGATGGTGATTAATTTTCGGCTCAACATACTGGCTATACGTAATGGCGCGCCCGTGCTTTTCCTTTTTTCGCGGCTGGCTACTTCCTTTATTTTCACACCGACATCCGGCCGCAACTTCCGGAAACGAGTAAGGCGAAGCGTGTAAGCCCCATTCATAACGCATGTCTGCATTAACGGCGATATAAGAGCAGTCGGATCACGTGCTTTGCCGACACGCATGGCATCGACACGGTACGCGTGCAAACGTGCGTGCATCCGATAAGATACGGATAAGATACAAAAATTAAATTTGGTTTTTTAATCTTTAACTATAACTATATAATAAAAAAAATCAATTCTCAATGAAAAAGAGAGTATATCGAGAATGTGTTCCTTCTTTTATAAAAAATATAGAGGAAAAAAAGAAAGAAGAGAAAAAGAGATTATATAATTCTTTCCAATTATTTCATATCAGCAATTTCTTCATTTAATATTTCTATTAGTATTCATATGTTTTATTTATATAATTCGTATTGGGATATTTTAATAGTCTGTCTTTAAGATTGATCAAATTCTTTGTAATTGAAATAAGCTTCGTTGTTAATTAAAAATCTGCGTATTATCTCAAAATTATATTTTTCATAGGGTTAAAATAATTATGTATTATATATCTGACAATGTATTATATATCTGGTTTTTTAATGTAACTGTTTATCTAACTTTTTAATATAATTATTTATATATAATATTAAAAAGTTATATTATATTAATTTATAAAAGTTATATTATATTATATTAAATAGTTGATTAAGAAAAATTGATTAAGAAATTGATTAAGAAAAATATATAAAAAGATGAACTCTAACTCTGAAATATTCTATATACAATGTGCATTTTTTTAATGACAAATAATATTTTACAGATAATATTTGACAAATAATTATTTGTCATTAGAAAAATGCACATTGCATATAGAATATTTCAGAGTTAGACTTCATCTTTTTATATATTTTTCTTAATCAATTTCTAATTGACAATCGTGCAAAAACCTATTTTTGTTAATTAATCTGTAGATATCAATTCATAATCAATCTTTGGAAATACAAAATAAATAATAAAATTATATCTATAAGAAAATGCTTATTAAAGAATTTTATCGGAATTTCTATAATTAAAAAAATAAATAGAATTGCCTCGAGGATAAATGGCATATCTAATGAACAAAATTATATATATTGGAACGAGAATCGAAAAATTTCATTTACCACGACAAATCACGATAAGCATTACAACTTCGCATACTGATTCACTCGTTATCCTTGACATTCCCATTTACATTTTCTATTTGCAATAAGGAAACTTCGTTTATATTTGTAAAGTTTCTACAGAAGAAAGATGCTAATCCAGACGCGTACTGATCGGAATCAGTGAAGTCCCGCATTAATACAAATAACATTTCTGAGTATTATCTCACTTTTATATTATCTCACAGTATTAATAATAATCATTATTTAAACATTGATCATAATTTACATTACAAATCCGATACACGTGCAATTTAATCCTCATGTTTAAGCCGAATGGGGGAATCCTCTTTAGACAAATTTATCTATAATCCTTTTATTCCTAGATTCTTTCCAAAAATATATTTAAACGTTTGTTTCATCACAATCAACCTTTAACAAAATTTATGAAAAAATATAAAAAAATGACATAAATTATAAATTAAAAACAAATTTTATATATTGTTTGTCATTATAATATCGATAATAAGATCATATATTTGACATATAATAGATCTAATAATTTAAATATCACTTATACGTGCGTATAAAACTAAGCTGGAAATAAGAGGATTAAGAGAGAAGACAGAAGGAAAAACAACAAGTCCTTGAACTTGCATAGAATTTCGCAATATGAGGCAACGATATTAAGAGATGCACTCACGTGTTGGACTTAATCCGTTGCTCGTTGTATCTGCGATGAAAGTCGAGTAGTTCCTGCAGCAAACCGGCCTTCAGCATATCGTCGACCCTGTCGTTCAGTCTGTTGTCTAAGACTTTCTGCAAAAAATTTTGGAGAAAGGAGAACTCCCTTATTAATTAAGCACAGCGATCGACACAACGATATCGTCCGATTAAAAAATGTTTCAGACATTTCGAAACCGTTTCAGCTCGATCATTCGATTCCTATCGTTGTAAGCCTGTGTGTTAACGTAGTAGTGACTATCATATGAGAGATACCGAACATAAATATTCTATCGTACGACTTTTCAAGTCCCCTCTTTCACGATCTAAAATTGTAATAAATAAGCGTTTTAACGTTTAAAGCATTTTGGCTTTAGCGTGCATTGTGATTAGAAGTATGTAATGGTGTAAATTGACAAATAATACAATGAATAATAACAAGAAACATACAAAAATATGTACACTAAAAATTTAAACGTAATTATTTTCCTATCGATATTGTAATAAATATTAATAATAAATATTGACATTGTAATAAATATCGTTAATTTTGTTGAAACAAGGAATTTCAAAATTTTTACAGCACGAAGCAAATTTATAAAAGTTAGACTACAATTGAGAGTCAATCGTATACAAAGATATCCTCGTATTCATAAAATGGTATTTGTAGGACGCCTATTGTTTTATAATCGGACGAAGTAGTATCGAATGTATCAGAATCATCTCGGTGACTGCCCCTGTTCAAAGATCGTGATTCCATCAAGGAAAAGGCCGATCAATATGTAGGCTCAATACCAAGGTCGGACCTTGCTATCGATCGACCGTTCAACGACACCAGAAATAACGCGGTCCCGTCCCGTTAGCGAGGGGGAAAAAAATTCGACGGCCTTGATAGTCACCGAGGAGTTTTGCAATTATTTCTCTTCCATATGGCCTTCTTTGCTAATGGCAAAGGCACGTTAGAAGGCGGCGTGTCCTCGAGCCGTGCAAAATTCTAGGCAGGCCATGCGTGTCGTTCGTTGGTTTTTGAGAGGTTTTGCGCGAGCGATACATCATTCACGATGTACAGTCAGCTACAAAAAAAAATACGTTTACGATCTTTCCCGATATATAAAAGATATCGTTGAAAGAGCGATCACGCGAAATAATATCGTGACATCGTGTCCGAAGATAATAGAAAAATATTTATCGAACGATGTGTCGCGCCCGGTTCATCTCGTTCATCGAGCAAATAAATATCTTTCAATATTTTCGAAACAATATTTTAAAATCAAGCTGAGCCGAGAGATGATGCGTTTAACTGCATCTTCGTGGCTGCGTGCAAACTTCAATGACAAATGCGATTATGCGGTACTGCGGTTCAGTTATCTAACACGTGTCACAGAAACGCGTGAATATGAATCAGAGAGCTGCACCAATCTCGCGTACAACATCCTTGTTACGCAACAAGTAATTGTATTAAGCACGCGAGAGAGGTTTAGTCATAAAAATGTTGCTTCCAATTTTAGCTCTTCGTTTGGCATTTTATCGTATTGCTCGAAGACCTTGGTCAACGGCCGAGTCGAGGCCGAACAAGTATTCCGCAGACCGTAAAATTTAAAGTAATTAGATTCAGTTGTTAATAATTCTCGCTAATGATAAAATAATACTGATAAATATCGATAAATAATAATAAATGCTCGGCTGAATACGATTAAGTAGCGATAATGGGAGCAGTGAAATAAATAAGCCTTCCATATAGCGATGTCGTTACAACGGCCTGTGGAATGTAAAGAGTCGAAACAGACTCACTATCGTTAGCAAACACTCGTAATTAAATAAGCGCTTGGCAAGCAGCTAAATCGCGATATCTCTCTCATGCAAACCACGGGCTCGAGATTTAATCGACCGCCCGAAATTAGACACGTGCGAGTGTTAAACTATAATCGGATGACAAAGACTTTGCTTAAAGACATCATCAATGATAAACAAAGCGTGGAAGTACATGAGCACTTTTTGCGTAATCGTGTCTAAATCCAATACATTAGACATTTCGCGTCTTCAAGGCTGCTTCACGACCTTTTTAACGCCTATAGAATATTGTGCAAAATACTTTAAATGCTTTAAAAAGAGAAATTCGCTTATAAAAATTGTAATAAATTAGCAAGCGTTTATAAAGACAAATGTTTACTTAAATCTTAAAAAACTGAAAATTCCTTCACTTCAGAGATTTAAGTATTTTTGTTTAAAAAAATATCAGATAAAGAAAATATTTTTAAAATCTTTTGCTGCAACTTTTTAAAATAATTTTTTTTGTTATATGCATTTTCTAGTACGTATGCTTTTTTTTAGTTTGTATGCTTTTCATTTATAGAAAGAAAAAACAGAGCCGTTTAAGTTTCAAATGCTAGATTTGCAAATATATTAATAAACTAAATAGTTTTTGTAAGATGGCTATTTTTCACTTGCGAAACATTTTAATTATTTTATCACTTAAACTTACAATAAAATTGAATATTTATTACATTTTGTTAAGATATCGAATATACAAAAATCTATATAATATCCATTTTACAAAAACTATTCAGTATATACAATATATATATATATATATATATATATATATATATATATTCAGTATATATATATATATATATATATATATTTATTTATTTTAAATGTACAATTTATAACTTATAGCTTTTCGGCGAGTTGCCGATATAAAAGCAATATAAAAACATTATTAAATTTAAAAAAATCCATGAGAATGAAATTCCCTAATTTTTCCAGACACAAAAGAAATCCCTGAGAATTCCAGATTTTCACGTTTTTCCATGAGTAAACATTCTGATAAAACTTTTTATATCGAAGAGAAAGTAACAACGATTAATAAAATGATTCTCGGATTTCACGCAGGACCAGATTTTAATTCGTTTTCGTCGGCGTCTCATTGTTCGGCCGGGAATTGCCGATTGTGCAAGAAATGTGTACGAGAGTGCTCGTTATAGCACTATAAAATGTAACGGAGACGCGCCGCGTATAATTCAAGAGCAACGCCGAATCGTTCTCACGGTCATTCACGGTTAAAACGCGACCTCCGCAACCCGTTTCGGCTCTGCGTTCGCTTTAAATCCCATTTAAATGCTGGAGCTTCGCGCTACACACGCCTACACGTACACACGTGAGCGCGCACGCACACGTACACGCACGAGCGCGAACAATATATACGTGCACGCTCGCCTCTTCTCGTTTCATTCATGCGATGCTCGAACGCGCAAACCGTCGATGACGTAAGCCGATGCCTAAAATCAGTATTTGATAATCACATGGTACATGCGATCGCTATGCGATTTAACTAGATTCCATGTGTATCTGCGTGCGTGCTCTATGACAGATTTTATGTCTGGCGTACGACACGACGAATAACATTGAAATGGATTCGGCGTTCATCCTTCTCGCGTCGAATGTAAAATGAGAGATACAATCGTCGAGCATTTATAATCGTTGACACTTCATCAGAGCAGCTCCGATAATTTATAACTCTATTAGTAACGCGATTACAAGACAGGAAAATTGATGACAGCCAGGGGTATGTCTTGTCTCTTCCTCAAAAAGCGACTTGATATTTCAAAAATAAATAAAGAGAAAACAGAGAGAGAAGAATCCAGAGGACCGCCAAGCACGTACAATTTCATATTTAACACATGCTACGTGACAATAATAAATTTAGAAATGGAGTGTCTGCAAGATAGTTTCGTCACCTTACCTATATCCTCCTTCCTAACGCATTTGAATTAATATTCACATAAGTATTCAGGGAAAGGATCCTACCTGATCCTCGCGAGCGTGTGTTTTATGAATCGAAGGTGCGCGCACGAGAGAGTACAATTTCATACTTAACACATGCTACATGATAATAATAAATTTAGAAATGGAGTGTCTGCAAGACAGTTTCGTCATCTTACCTATATCCTCCTTCCTAACGCATTTGAATTAATATTCACATAAGTATTCAGGGAAAGGATCCTACCTGATCCTCGCGAGCGTGTGTCTTATGAATCGAAGGTGCGCGCACGAGAGAGTACAATTTCATACTTAACACATGCTACGTGATAGTAATAAATTTAGAAATGGAGTGTCTGCAAGACAGTTTCGTCACCTTACCTATATCCTCTTTCCTAACGCATTTGAATTAATATTCACATAAGTATTCAGGGAAAGGATCCTACCTGATCCTCGCGAGCGTGAGTTTTATGAATCGAAGGTGCGCGCACGAGAGAGTCGCTAATAAGAATACAAACAAAAGGAATGGTCGATAGGAAAGGGAGGTATAGGTGTACGGACGTTCCGCAAATAGCCTAGGCATTGTGCTGAACGTTTTTGCGCCGCGGCCTTCGCCGAAATCAATGATCCCGTCTGGAGGTGAAAAAGTCAAAGGCCCGGGCGGATTCGGTAACCGCGTGCATACAAACGCGCGGCCCGGGCTCCCGTCATCGTCGTCGCGTGGGCGGCGCTACTGGGAATACGCGATTAGATCACACGGATAAGACACGATTGTGGATAAAGCGGCGAAACGACGCACGCGACGGGCGTGAATTCCGCGACGTTGATGCAACTCAGGAGGACGACGTACCAAGTTAATCCTCGACGTTAATCTCCTTCGATCGTCCCGGACGAAGATAATCGTATGCGCGATTGTCAATTTTCAGGTATAGGGGCATCGATCATCTCGTGCCGTATACATGTTACACAGCACATCTTCGTGTTCTCCGACAACTCTCCAAGTTGCAATGTAATATGTTTATCGATTCGCGTCTCGCGTTTTTTGGTATAATCTCTTATCGTTTCTCGTGACGCAAGTCGTATCGATCTGGCGGGTAATCTTATGTGTGTTTTATTAATGTCATCGAAAGTGATTTATGTATCATGCGAGAAAATGTGGCGAAAAAAGATACAAAATCCCATTTACATCTTTTAGCATTTCAAGCAAATAAGCGTATCTGATATTCGATTTTAAAATAGAACAGAAGATATTTCTCCCATTTTATCGCTAGTTGTCAAATGTGTCAAACATGCGTCTGCGAAGAATTTGAAATAGTTTCCGCTAAGGCCATTGA